TCCTGCTCCTATGATGCTGCTTGGCCTGCTGTGTTGATCCTATAAAATGATTGACTGAATCAGAGCTGTACAGCATGTAAACAGACCCTTTGGTCCAGCTCATCCACGTTGACCAGATATCCTAAATTAATCTAGTTCCTTTTGGCCCATATCCCTCTAAATCCTTCCGATTCATATACCTATCCAGATGCCTTTTAAATTTTGTATTTGTACCAGCCTCCACCACTTCCTCTGCATGAAAAAGTTACCCCTTAGGTCAATTTAAAATCTTTCCCCTCTCACCTTAAACCTATATTTATAACCTCAGCCTCCGAAGCTCCAGGAAAAATAACAGCAATCTATTTAGCATCACCCTTGGCTCAAACCCTTCAACCCTGGCAACATCCTTGTAAATCTTTTCTGAATCCTTTCAAGTTTCACATCATCCTTCCTTTAGCACAGAGATCAGAACTGCATGCAGTATTCAAATAGTGGCCTAACCAATGTCCTGTACAGCCACAACAGGACCTCCCAACTCCTACACTCAGTGCACTGACCCATAAAGGTAAGCAAATCAAACGCCTTCTTCACCATCCTATCTACCTGTGACTCCACTTCCAATGAACTATAAACCTGCAGTCCAAGGTGTCTTTATTCTGCAAAATTCCCTAGGACCTCGCATCCTGATTTGCCTTTCCAAAATGCAGCATCTCACATTTATCTAAATTAAACTCCATCATCTACTCCGTGGCCCAATGGCCCATCTGATCAAGGTCCCTCCACCACCACCTTCTACCTTCAAGCCAATTCTGTATCCAAATAGCTAGTTCTCCCTCTATTCCATGTGATTTAACCTTGCTAACCAGTCTACCATGAGGAACCTTGTCAAATGCTTTATGGAAGTCCATATAGATCATGTCCAATGCTCTGTCCTCATCAATCCTCATTGTTACTTCTTCAAAAAACTCAATCAAGTTAGTGAGACACAATTTCCCATGCACAAAGCCATGTTGACTATCCCTAATCAGTCTTTGCCTTTCCAAGTATATCCTGTCCCTCAGGATTCCCTCCAACAACTTATTCACCACCGATGTCAGGGTCATCAGTCTATCATTCCCTGGTGTGTCCTTACCACCTTTCTTAAATAGTGGCACAACGTTAGCCAACCTCCAGTCTTTCTGCATCTCGCCTGTGGCTATCGATGATACGAATATCTCAGCAAGGGACCCACCAATCTCTCCCTCGCTTCCGACAGAGTTCTAGGGTACACCTGATCATGCCCCTGGGATTTATCCGCCTTTAAGATGTCCAGCACCACCTCCTCTGTAATATGGGCATTTTTCAAGATGTCACTATTTGTTTCCCCACGTTCTCTATCTTCCATGTTCTTCTCCACAGTAAACACTAATGCAAAATACTCTTTCAGTGTCTCCCCCACCTCCTGCGGTTCCAACGCATAGGTGGCCTTGCTGATCTTTAAGGGGTCCTATTCTCTCCCTAGTTACCCTTTTGTCCTTAATACATTCGTAGAATCCCTTTGGATTCTCGTTAATCCTATTTGTCAAAGCTATCTCATGTCCCCTTTTTGTCTACCTGATTTCCCTCTGAAGCATACTCCTATTGCCTTTGTACTCTTCTGGGGATTCACTCGATTTCTGCTGTCTCTCCCTGACAAATGCTTCCTCCTTATTCTCGACCAAAACCTCAATTTCTCTAGTCATTCAGCATTCTTTACACCTACCAGCCTTGCCCTTCACTCTAACAGGAACACACTGTCTCTGGACTCTCATCTCATTTTTGAATGCTTCACATTTTCCAGCTGTCCCTTTACCGGTGAACATCCACCTCCAATCAACTTTTGAAAGTTCTTGCGTAATACTGTCAAAATTGGCCTTCTTCCAATTTAGAACTTTAACGTTTAGTTTCAGTCTATCCTTTTCCATCACTATTTTAAAATTAATAGAATTATGGTTGCTGACCCCAAAATACTCCTCCAACTGACACCTTAGTCACCTGCCCTGCTTTATTTCCCAACAGTAGGTCAAGTTCTGCACCTTCTCTAGTAAGCACATCCACATACTGAATCAGATAATTTTCTTGTACACACTTAAATTCCTCTCCATTCAAGCCTTTAACACTATGACTGTCCAGCACTATTTGCCTCCCTCCCCTATCATTCCTGGAGGTCATCCATCCATCTGACTGTATCTTCGGTTTATATAAATTAATCAGGAAGAGGTAGGAAATGATGTCAGCAAGATAACCATTAGTTTAAAGAAACAGAGTCAGGGGAACTGCATAGATATTTTTCAGTGAATCAAGACTGACCATGCACTAATAAGTCATTTCGAGTACACAACGTCTCCAATCATACACAGAGGGTGGTGGTAAGTAAGGGTTAATATGGCTTTATTTTAGGGGGTTCAATGTGTGAGGAAAATCAAAGACAGAAGGAAGATCAAAGAGAAAAGGAGAATATTAGGCAATAGAACAAGAGACCTGTGCCCACTCAACCAGTGTAGTGAACTAGTACCCTAAAGTGGATCAACTGTAAAACAACTGTTCTTATCAAATATTATTTCTTATGCTTTTTTTATGATAAACTTAATATACACTATAAAACTTTTGAAAATATACTGTGTCTTGAATAGTCTTTGTAAGTAATCAGAACTTGTAAACTTTAGAACAGATTTCCCAAACTCAGTCTCAGTTGTAATTGACTTAGATCTTACAACCAAAGTTAAACTGCATGCTACAATCTCACATAATACTTGAGCATTTTGCATGTTAAGTATCAAAACATACTGTTTTTACAAATTTATCCACAATTGTTTCAAAGTCTTTCTGGAATTGTGGCAACCATTTGTCTATGCTAAAATTGTACTTTAAACATTTTAGTGCACAGTTGCTTATTTTGTCAAGCAAATTGTATAATTTATAATCTGCCTATTGTACTTCTATGGTCCTTTGAACCAAGCTGAATGGGTTTTTGACTTCAAAAAGTCAGAAACAGTAGAAGGCTCCAACAAGCCAAAAAAACTTTCCCACACTTCAGCCAATTTCTTCACCCAATCCAAAATTTACTTTGACTGCCCACAGCATTTAGATTCACTAAACCTTTCATCTAGAACACTGATCAATGTTTTCTGACAAATCTAGACAGTAAACAGAGTAAGGATTATAATATTGTATGGATTTTGATAGCATGGTATATTTCTCCATAGAAACAAGAAGCACCAATTGTAAAACTAGTCAATGTTACCATGGAAACTGCACTAAATACTCAGTAAAGCAAACAATTCTATGACTGAGTTAAATCTTCCAATTTTGCATTAGAATATGTGTGTACTGTACTGAGCAACTCAAAATATCCTTGTCACATCATTGGCAAGTTATTTTTTTCTCGCTAATTCATTTTTAAGTAAACAGGAAGACTTACATACCTAGCTACGGAGTACATGAAGAGAAAGTCATTGTCTGGTGAGCCAGGAGTCTTCCCATAATCTATATATTTCTTTTGGGTTGCACTCCTGATGTCCTTCATCACTGATTCCATCTCCTTGCTCAAGTTCGTTATTGACTATGAAAAGCGAATCAGTGCAAGCAAGAGATACATTTACAACAAACAGACACAAAATAGCTTTTTGAAAATAATAGTATGAAGGATGCAATTTTTTCAAAATTATGAATAATAGTAGAACAGATGGCACTCAATTTCAAATAATTACGCATAACAATTTTAATCAAGAAGATCCACTTTTCTGGCTTATCAAGCTATTATTGTTACACTGCCACTATAAAACTATCAAAGCTTGCACAGGCAACAGTAGAGTTAAGTGAGAAGCTAAAACATTAAAACATTATCAGAATCAGCCCAACAGAAAAGATTAATTCATTTCTATTGTTTAACTGGCCCATTAAAATGGCCTACAATCTGCATGTAATGAACTGATCAATCTGTAAAATCTAATTTAAAAATTGTTTAAAAATAAAAATCATTTTTTTTTTTTTTTTTAATTTACCTGTCCTCAACCTACACAGCATCTGTCAAATTCTGCCCATTCAAGTACACATGAAAGGTTTGGCAGTCTGTAGGCAATGTTCTGATTTCCTACATGACAACCAAATGTTGCTTCAAAACTTATCGTCACTCAAAATCGATGAAAATAAATTCACCCAACTATTTTCAGAAGCCGCATTACTTCCTCAACTATCTACTTCATTCCCTACAAATAAGATTTAAAACAGATAAATCACAATTTTTAATCATTCTTTAAAAATATTGCAATTCATCAATTTTCATCTTCCACCAAATGTTTCATATCACCCTCCGCCTAATTTCATATTTTCTTCTTAGGTCACGACAAAAGTGCTGAAAGTATTTGGCACTGCCACAAATCATCCACAACCATCTAAATATGTACCTTTTATAATTTATGTCTATTTATGCAGTCAATTCTCTCAAACATTAATGTGATCCCATTACATATAAAAGGACATGCATTTATTCCCCATACAGAAACAAAGTATTTCTATTCGCTTTACTCAGTCCAACTCTTTTAAGTGATGACTACTCCAATCTCTTTTTCATTTCAACCAATTTTTCTCCAATCATACAATTTGAACCTTCTGTTGCTGATTACTAATATGTTTAATGTATTTCATTCTTTTCCCAAATTATGCAACTACTCTGACAACTACCATGAAGCTACTTATTTACTCATGTTCTGCAGCTCTGGTTATCGATTTAGGATTCTACTAATGTTGAACAACAAAGCACATCAATGGAAATTTGTTATACCAATAAAGACAGTGATTATTTGGTTATATGGTTCATAAACATACATCAAAACTCAGTTTGCATTTGTACTGATGTGTGTCTCCATTTCTAATGATCAATACGCTCAAGGCTGCAAATATCAGATTAGAAAGGTGATTTTTGATGTTTCATAAGTATTAACTGGTTTTGCAGAAAGATAATCATGAATGACTAGCTAACCAATGTGAATAGATTGCAAACAAGCAATGATGACATTATGACTGTACTGAATGCCGTTGCACGTGGTAAATTAAACGATTCAAATCAATATAACTATTAAGACCAGAAGACCATGTGAAATAGGAACAGGAGTAAGCTGTTCGGCCTCTCAAACCTGCTCCACCATTCAATAAGATCATGGCTGATCTGACATTCCTCCCATCCACATTCCTGTCCTATTCCCATAACTCTGGATTCCCCTACTGATCAAGAATCTGTCTCAGCCTTAAATATACACAAGAACTCTGCCTTCACAGACCTCTGTGGCAAGGAATTTCAAAGCCTCAGAACCCTTTGAGTGAAAACATTCCTCCTCATCACAGTCTAAAATTGGTGCCCCTATATCCTGAGACTATGCTCGCTGGTCCTATACTCTCCCGTGAGGTGAAACGTTGCCTCAGTATTTACTCTGTCAAGCCCCTTAAGAATCCTAAATGTTTCAATGAGATTGCCTCACATTCTTCTAAATACCAATGAACAGTCTCAACCTGTTTAACCTTTGTTCATAAGACAATCCCTTCATAGCCAGGGATCATCCTTTTGAACCTTCTCCAAACTGCATCCAATGAAATGATTTATTTCCTTAAATAAGGAGACCAAAACTGCTCATATTATTCCATGTGGTTTCACCAGTACCTTGTACAGTTGCAGTAAGATTTCCCTACTCTTACACTCCAATCCCCCTGAAATAAGGGCCAACATTCTGTTAGCCTTCCCGATTACCTGCTGTACCTTTGTGCTAGCTTTCATGTTTCATGCACAAGAGCCACCATCTCATGCCCCACCCAAGTTCCTTTGTGTTGTACCATTGTACAGGTATTGTTGCTACCTGCAGAACGTTTCAGACGGTAACAGTCAACTATTTTTGTACATTTGAGTTTAAAGGTATCAAAGACTGAACAGCACTATTTCACTGTCAGTAAATAATGAGAATCTTCGACCCATATGAAATATACTTTTAATTTACAATTTAACTTAGAATCTACTGAAATATGCAATTTCCTTGGGAGATCTCCAAAATATATATTTTAGGCAATGTTATTTGAAGTTCATGTAAAACCTGAATTACGTAGACAGTGAAGTTGCAAAATAATTGTGACATGTTAAGTAGCACCGCACCTAACATAGCATTATGTAACTGTCAATCAACTAGACATAGCAATATCAAAGGTCAGATATACTCCAGCCATTCCTCCCTTATTCATCCAATTAATTATGTCCTTGACAAATGTCAATTTCCTCCAAAAGTAAATGCTGAATCTCCCCAATTATATAATTACTATATTTGAGTGTCCTGTTACCATATCAGTCGTAGACCCAGAATTTTCATACTTCTGATGTAAAGTCAACTGATCTTGATTTCTCGTTTCCTCTTTCCTTAAAGAGCGAGATACTAAATGCTACCATATAATCCTTGGGAATTGTTCTGGAATCTAAACAGCTACAGATGTTCAAAAGTCATGCATCCACTCTCACTGCTGCTCACTCTTTTAAAACCCAAGGATGCAAGCTGTCAGGTCTATTGGATTTGCCATCACTTAGGCTTCGTAATTTTTCCACTACTACTATTTTTATACTATTGATTTCTTCAGTCCTTCATTCTCACTTCACCCTTAGTCCTTTATTGTGGAATATTTATTGCATCTTCTAAATGGAACAGCTTCTTCCCTGCTGTTATCAGACTGTTGAACAGACCTTTCAAATGTAAATTCTGATCTCTCCCTCTCTGCACCTCTAACGCTGTTTCTGCACCCTGTTCTGCTACCCTGATGCAATTTGCATGGTAAGATCTGCCCGAATAGCACACAATACAACACTTTCCACTGTACCATAGTACATGTGACAACTCAACAGATCCTTTGTATCAGTAATGTGTCTACCATTGCCTTGTTACTAGTATAATGTCACCTGTCTCTGCCTCTAATAAACCCACGTTTACTTTCACTAATCTCTTCATATCTACAAACCTGTAGAAGTGTTCACAATCTGGTTTTGTGTCTCTTGCTAGTGTGCTTTCATTCCCTTATCAATCAATTTCTCACTCCTCCACATGTATGAGCGTGAAGGATGAGAGAAATAGCAGATTCATCTGCAACATCCAACATTACTTGTATAAATTACCTTCTATGCATTCTTTCCTAGTCAGAGATAATCGGACAAGAAATTAGCATGTCAGCTTCTGTGAAGAAAATAACCAAATTAACATTTCTGGAATGTTGAAGGATCAACATCTAACACTTGATTCTGTTCTCTCATAAGTCACTGGCTGACCTGTCGAGTGTTTCCAGAATTTTCATTTTGGTTAGGTTTCCAACATTAGCTTTTTGTTCCTTTTGTTTAGTGAATGGATTATATGATTAGAAATTCAAAACTAAAATTACAAAGAAAGATTTTTCAGCCTTACGCTAATGCTTACTGGGAACATTCCCAACTGTTCCTGTTGTTCTTCCACTTCCTTGATGAGAGTTAGCAGGTTCTTGCTATTGTAAGGTGACCAAATACTCCTTTCCTCAATCTTTTCAGGATGACAAGGAAGAACACTGTTGGCAAACTGTCGACAGAGGGGGCATGTAAACTCTCCTTTATCCACTGAGAAACTCTGCAGCACCTGGTCATTCTGAAAGAAAGTCATATCATGCTGATTTTAATGAAGAATATCACCAACTTCTAACTCATGATAGATTATTTCTGTTCTCAGTTAAATCCAGTATCATATAAGGCCTTTTGAAACTTTATGTTAAAAAAACATATTTGACAATTAATAAAATTACATGAGAGGAAGCAATACTTCACATTTCTTTGCTTACAAATTCACAATACAATAGCATAAATTTTACCGACATCCAAAGCAATCAAACAGGCACAGGATCCTTTAGAAGATGGAATTATATGATGTTCCCCATATAAGGAAGCAGTAAATGTGTTTTTACAAAGTCTTTCATCAACTTTCTCCCTTTAATAGAGATTAGCTTCCAAACAGTCCTACAACCTATTTGATTTCATCCATCCAAGCTATTTTCTTCTCCTGACAATATTCAGTTATTTCTTATGAATCAAATACCCCGGGCACATTCACGTTCCTTCATTCGCTTTCTCTGACAGTTCATCCCAACTGTTTATTGGCCTGTTGCTCTGCAAGATTAAAGTATTTTTCAGTTTTCTACTCATCATAAAATGATATAGTACAGCAACAAGTAATTCTGCAATCCTAATATTATATATGCTTCTACATGGCTCCTCTCAGACACATTTCTTACCAAGACTAGAGACAGCCTCAGTGAATTTTGGCTTGGAATGAAAGTAACATTGGCAAGGTAGATTTGATTCATCACCACAAAGTGCTCAAACACCACGAAGAGGCTATCACAAAGTGATTTTTAACATGCTTCCCATTTCTGAGGGCATCTATAACAGTATTTAATAAACAATAGATAACATGATTATAAAATGGAAGGATTGCAGATTTCACAATAAACCTTCTTGTTTTTAAAACTGTTTTCCTGTTGCCCTATCAGTGGTATTCACTTTTGTTCCTTTTTCCACTCCTCCGTTTATTGAAAACCTGTCACCTTGGAACTTTCCAGTTATGATGAAAATTCATCAATGTCAAAGGTCATCTCTGTTTATCTCTCCACAGATTCTGCTAGACCTGATGAATGCTTGCAGTATTTTCAGTTTAGATTTCATATTTCCTGGTTCATTTGGGGCTAGTCCCAAAAATGTATTTTTAAAATTCAATTTCACAGCTTGCCACGAGGTTGTTGGTCCGGTACCATACAAATAAACCATTATTCCTAGCTGTAAAATCATCGCTCATAGCTTTTCTCTAATATACAAGATTAAAAGAAATAGGAGCAGCATTAGACCATTTCGCACCTCAAGATTGCTCTGCCAGTCAATAAGATCATGGTTGATCTGATGTGACCTAATTCCACCTGCCTGCCTGTTTCCCGATAACCCTCAACTTCCTGGTCAATCAAAATTTTCACTTAATTAAACTTTGAACATACATATTAATTCACACAGCTTTCAGCATTTGGTGTAGGAGAGAATTGCAAACACTGATGACCTTTTGAAGAAATTCCACCTCACCTCCATATTAACTGGGAAACCCTTTATTTTTAAACAGTGCCCACTTGCTCTAGATTCTTCCACAGAAGGAATCATGCTCTCCACTCTGTCAAGCTTCCTCAGAACCTCTCTTGATTCAGTAAAATCATCTCTCATTCTTCCAACATCTGATGACAATAGGCCCAACCTGCTCAACATATTTCCAAAGACAACACCTTCATCCAAGGAATCAGCCTGGTGAACTTCTATGACCTTTTTACAATGCACGTCCCCTCCTTACGCAAGGTAACCAAAACCATACATGGGTTTGAAGAAACTGGTGTACACACCAAAAATTTATCTACCAATTGCCTACCATTATTAATTTGATTTGTCCAATAGATGTACAGGTTAAAGTCACCCACAATTACTGCAGTACCTTTCTTTCAATCCCCCCTGTAGTGATAAGAATCATAGAATCCCTACGGTGAGGAAACAGGCCATTTGGCCCATCAAGTCCACGCTGCCCCTCTGAACAGTATTCCACCCAGACTCACCCGTCCCCGCCCTATCCCTGTAACCCTACATTTCCCATGGCTACCCTACCTAGCCAGCACATCCCTGGACACTATGGTCAATTTAACATAACCAATCCATCTAACCTGCACATCTTTGGATTGTGGGAGGAAACGCATGTTGACATGGTGAGAATGTGCACATTCCACACATTTGCCAGAGACTGGAATCGAACCTGGGTCACGGGCACTGAGACAGCAGTGCTAACCACTGTGCCACCGTATTGCTCTGAAGATTGTAACGAGGTCAGCCAGGTGGGCCTCATAGAATATTGGGGCTGATAATCTGGTCCAATCAGGGTACCCTGGCTGACAGATATAAACAGGAGTGTCAGAGGTTCTGCTCATTCTGAGAAAGCCAGACTAGTGTCAAGTGCTATGCATGTGTAAATATAGGGTGACTTGGTGACAGGATACTGGCCTCTGGAGTTAATTCTGTGGTGACAAGAAAATAAAAATGATCCTGAAGAAATTCACTCGTCACAGTTGTCTTTGAGTTGGGGTAAGTATTTCTGGCATCCTGCTGTTATTTGGGAAGCTTGACTTGTTTGATCCTGCTGTTGAAGACTGGGCCCAGTATGTGGAAAGAGTGTTTTTTTTTTTTTTCCCTGGGCAAATGACATTGGGACAGATGAAAAGCAATCAGTAATTCTCATGACAACTTGAGGACCTATGGGCTCCTAACTGAAGAAGCTGATGTTTGCTTCAGCACCAAATACAAGAACCTTTCAAACCTTAATTTGGTTAAGGAATATTACAACTCCAAACATCTTGATGCTATCAGTTTACTTAGCAGTCAGAGCCAGGGAAATCTGTTGGGATTTTTGAGGAGGTTATGATGACTGGCAGAGGTATGACATTGGTTTAACCCCTAATGAGATGCTGAGACCCTGTTTTGTTTATTGGATTAATGACATAACCATGCAAAAGCATCTCCTAGTTGAAGCCCAACTGGATGTAAAACAAAGATGACAACTGGCTTTGTCATTAGAAAGGCAAGTGGAGCATATGAATTGCAGGGTAATGCTGATGCAAGTGGACACCCTTACCAAGCCAACTGAGCTTTGAGAACACTACCTCAGTGGAGACAATTGCATAGCCTCACTCGGCATATCCTGAACCGATGGACTCTGGGTTGGCCCACAGCAAAACACCAAAAGGTAGCCAAGCCTCAGGCAAACAGGCCACTGCAGTTGCTGCCAGCATATGGACTTGAGACAGAGTCATGGCAGGCCTGAATTAAGAAAGAAAACTCTTGGACCCTGGAAAGTCCATCTACATCTGGCTTGTAACAGTTAAATTGCTTAGCAACATCTAAATCAGGACCAATCAAAATAAATGCCTGGTTAAATGGTCACCTGATTTTAATGGAGGTTTGTGCAGCTGTATCAGTAAGTGCACAATGAGTCTTTAACAAAATTTGCTCTAGACCCTTAAATTTGTGTAACACCTCAGCTAGACTGAACTTTTATTAGGAACCTTTACATAATAAGTGTACAACTTTGGTTACAACCTTCTGAGAAGCAGCTCATTCAGTTACCACTGATTGTGGTAAAAGGCTTGGATCCAAGCCTGATGGGGCTAAATTTCTTGAGAAAGATGCACCTTGATTGGCTCAATGTTTTTTGATCAGAAAATGGCTGCCTGAGTGAAGCCATAATTAAATACCTGAGAAACCTCTGGGAAGATCTAGGGACTATCAAAGGAGCCAAGGCTACGCTACTTGTTGACCAAGAAGCAATTCCATGATTCTGCAAGGCCCACCCAGTGCCATTTACCTTGCGTGCAAAAGTACAGGCAGAAATCAGAAGACTAGAAAGCAAATGCATCTGTGGTTGGCTTGCTTGCTGTGCTGGTTTTAGTTTGCAGACGTTTCATTACCCTGCTGGGTACCATCAGTACAGCCTCCGATGAAGCACTGTTTGCCCAGCCGATATTTAAACTCTGGGGTCCATTGGAGTTGATTACACCACTGTGAAGACAAACCGGAAATGAGGTAATCAACTCCAATAGACCCAGAGTTTAAATATCAGCTGAAAAAACACAACTGCACTTCATCGGAGGCTGCATTGGATTTTGTCCAGCAGAGTAATGAAATGTCTGAACTAGTGAACCAGAGCTACAACTCTACTCAACATTAGCAAAGGAATCCTTAAACCAGTACAGTTTGCAGAATGGGCAGCACCAATTGTACTGCTTGAAGCCCAAATGGTCTGTTTGCCTTTGCAGGGATTTTAAGCCAACAATAAACTGCTTCTCGCAGCTGAATGATCACCCAATCCACGCACAAAGCTAGTGGGGTGCCTATCCTTCATGAAGCTGGACATGAGCCATGCATACCTGCAATTGCAGTTAGATGAGAAATCCCAGATGTATGCTACAATTAATACCCCCAAGGGTTTGTACCAACATACAAAACTGCCATTTGGGTTATCATCAGCCTCTACCATTTTTCAGTAGACTATGAAGAACACTTTATAAAGTCTACCCTAGATCACCATTTCTCTGGATGATGTGCTAACAACAGGGAAGACAGAGCACTTAGAACTTGGACATAGTCTCTAGACATTTCTCCAAGGTGAGCATTTGTCTTAGAAGGGGAAAAATGTGTGTTCCAGGCACTCCAAGTGACCTACTTGGGCTACAAAGTTGATAAGGCTGAGTTTCATCTGTTAGATAAAATGAAGGCAATCAAAGGTGTCCCAGCTCCCACATCTGACCACAAAACTTACTGAAGACTTCTGCTCCACAGCTAGCTGTACAGCTACAATAATGTGGAAAAATGCCCAGGCATGCAGGAAGAATCCAAGCAGCCAATTACTGTACAATCTGTCTACTATCAATCATTGAAGTGATAAAAGGGGTCATCAACAGTGCACTTCTAAACTGACATTCAGTTTGGATTCCATTAGGGCTATAAACTTTGGTCCAAATATGAACAAAATAGGTAAATTGCAGAGGTGAGCTAAGAATGACTTCACGGCAGTACTTA